GTAGTAGTAGTAGTAGTTGTAGTGGTAGTAGTAGTAGTAGTAGTACTAGTAGTAGTAGTAGTAGTAGTAGTAGTAGTAGTAATAGTAGTAGTAGTAACCCTTAAAATAGTAGTAGTAGAGATACTAAGAGCACTAGTAGTAGTAGTAGTCGTCGTCGTAGTAGTAGTAGTAGTCGTAGTAGTAGCAGTTGTAGTAGTAGTAGTCGTAGTAGTAGTAGTAGTAGTAGTAGTAGTAGTTGTTGTTGTAGTAGTCGTAGTAGTAGTAGTAGTAGTAGTAGCGTAGTAGCGTAGTAGTAGTAGTAGTAGTAGTAGTAGTAGTAGTAGTAGTAGTAATAGTCGTAGTAATAGTAGTAGTAGTAGTAGTTGTAGTAGTAGTAGTAGTAGTAGTAGTAGTAGTAGTAGTAGCAGTAGTAGTAGTAGAAGTAGTAGTAGTAATAATAGTAGTAGTAGTAGTAGTAGCAGTAGTAGTAGTAGTAGTAGTAGTAGTGGTAGTGCACGGCAGTGCTTGTGTACACGACAGCGCCTACGTGCACCATTGCGTTCGCGTGCACCGCAATGCCCGCGTACGAACAGCTGCCAAGTGCACCGGAGCACTTGTTTATACCACCGTGCCTGCATGCACCACACTATCTGTGTGAACTCGCCCTGCATGCACTCCGATGCCTGCGTGCGCCACAACGTTTCTGTACACCACCTGTTGCCGCAGCAGCAGCGGCAAACACCGTGTGCCCCACAAGGCCCCCGTGTCTGCGTGCACCACTCGGGGCCTCTGGGCCACGTCGGTCGTCGTTGTCCTCGTCCTCCTCCTCCTCCCCCTCCTTCACCCCCTCCTTTTCCTCCTCCTCCTCCTCCTCCTCCTCCTCCTCCAGCTCCTTCTCCCTCCTCGGCTTCCCTGCGTTACCATTACGTGGGGGGGGCCGGGGGGGGCGTAACATGCGTTACGTCCAGAAATTATAAAAGAACAAAATCACAGGCGAGTCCGTCGTTGTGGCTTCGAGACCACCCGAATAGGGCTGAGACCACCCCCACCTTCGACCTCGACCTCCCGCCCCACCATTTCGAATTCGGCGACGTCCCCCTGGCCCCGAGGGGCCAAGACGGCTACCTCACGATTTTTGGGGACGGGTCAGGGGGATATTACTCTGATGACCCGCGCAGGCGACGCGTTGGCTCGGGGTTCGTGGCCCTGGAGGCACTCTCCGCAAGTGGCTGGGCCCCCGTCGCCGGCATCTCGTGCAGCGTCGCTGGTGCGAGACAAACGGCGGTTCCCCGTGCGAGCTCACGACGTTCGCCGAGGCCCACGAGTGCTCCAGAGGGCCGTTACGGTTGGCTTCTGACCATAAACCTTTAGTGGACGGGAGGGCCAGAGGTCGGCATAAGTCTGTTTCGTTCAGGCTCGGAGATGCCGACCTCCAGGCCAGGATCGGAAAGGCCGAGCGTGACCGGGACCCCGACCCCATCCAAGTTATTGGACCCGCTCCCACGTAGAGGCCCAAGACATCAGGTCTGAGAGTGATTTCTTCTGGGCGGTGGGTAAGGAGTGTGCAGACGAGCTGGCTGCGACGTTGGCGACGCTGATGACGGCGGTAGCGGCGACAAACAACGACGACAAACGACGACGCTGGCGACGGCAAGGGCGACAACGACTAACGACGACGACGACGACGACGACGACGACGACGACGACGACGACGACGACGGCGACGACCCCAGACGAACTCAAAATCGGTCCCTGGACCCCTCCCGGGGCCAGCCTGGCCAGAGCCTCATCCCGTGCCCACTTCCGACGGCCCGTGGGCCCGGAACGGGCCCCGGGTGCCCACATTCGGCGGCGGCGGCGACGGTGACGGTCTCCAAGCCGACGCGCCCCCGCGAGGTCTGAGCGGGCAGCCCCTGCACGGCGCCCTGCCGGGCGGCGGCCCCGGGGCCCGCGCTCGGCGCCGCAGCTCGGGCGGAGGCAGCGCCCAGTGCACCTCGCAGGACGACCCCGTCGTCGCCGCCGCCGCCACTGCTTGCCGCCGGGGCCCGCGGCGCCGTCGCCGTGGCCGCCGACTGAGGGGCAACGGCAGCGGGGGACCATCTCAGCTCCTCCTCCTCCTCCTCCTCCTCCTCCTCCTCCTCCTCCTCCGACTCCTCCTCCTCCCCCATCCCCCTCATCCTCCTCCCCCATCCCCCTCCTCCGCATCCTCCTCCTCCTCCTCCCTCCTCCTCCTCCTCCTCCTCCTCCTCCTCCTCCTCCTCCTCCTCCTCCTCCTCCTCCTCCTCCGGGGGGACGTCGAGCTGGAATCGGCGGTGCATCGCCGACAGATCGGCGATGGGACCCCGATAGCAAGTCCGCACGATCCTGGGCGGGGTGGGGCCATCGTCCTCCTAGCGGCGATCTATGGACGATTGGGGTTTCGATACATGACCCCTGAGCCTCATGTTGCCCGTGACCGACGTCATCTTTCGTCGTCGCCGCCGCAGCCGCCGTTGTCGCCGTTGCCGCTGCCGTCGTTGTCTCGCCCCCCTACGGGCCCTTCGGCCAGGCCCGGCGAGCGAGCTTACGAGAGAGAACCGTAGGCCTTCGGGCCGAGGCGGATTGACGAGCCGTTGGTACCTGCTGCTGTTCTTGCTCAGGCGCCCGACTGGCCCCCGGTGGCTTATGAGCGGGCCGGAAGAGCTGAGGCGTGCTGACCGCGGGACATGATCGTCGGAGCTGATCGCCCGGGGGCGTACCAAATCCTCCATTGTCACCATTTTCCTCCTCCTCCTCCTCCTGCTCCTACTTTTCCTCCTTCTCCTCCTCCTCCTCCTCATCCTCCTCCTGATCCTCCTAGTCGTCCCTGCTCCTCCATCCCCCTCCATACTGCCCGCGCTACCCGACACCCAGCCCGCGAGCGTTTGACACCGATCGTCAGACCTCGATCGTCAGACCTTGTCAGGCGCACCGGGCACTGGGGGATCCGATCCTGGGACCCATCCATCGCGGGGCCTGGCCATGGGACCTCAACGTGGGGCCCTACATCCCTCCACAAGACTTAAAGCAAGGTTTGCCGCACCGCTCCCCCTTGCCCCCAATTTCAATGTTCAGTGGCGCGCGCGGCGCGGCCTGCGGACGCCGACGAGAAATACGAGGTAATTTGTCTCGGCATCCACTCTGAAATTCGGCGGTCTGGAAGCGCCGACATTACGCGGGCCGAAATTGCCCTACGTCTGCGGAAGAGATGTACACACAGGACCCTGAGAACTCCTATTATGGGACCCTGTCGTGGGACCCTGACGCGGGGCCATATCGCGGGACCCCACAGCCGCAGCGGGACCCTACCGTGGAATCCCACTACTACCGCGGCACCTTGTTGTGCAACTCTTGTTGTGGGAACCCCGTCGCGGGGCCCGATCGTGGGACCGTACCGCGGGCATTCAGTGGCCTTGTCGCAAAGCCCCATCGCGGGACCTTAGGCTATGATAAGGCCCTCCAGGGGTCCTGATCCTAGGGGCTCTATCCTGGGACACTCGTCCACCCCAGACCAACCCACCATACATCCTCCCTGCTCATATTCCTCCTCACCTCCTCCACCTCCTCTTCCTCCCCCTCCTCCGCCTCCTCCTCCTCCTCCCACGTACGATTCGGGGGCACCCACATGGAGGCCCCAGACACGCAGGGGGACCCCTGGGCATTGGGGTTATGGTCCTGGGTCCCGCGTCAGCCACCGCCTGAGCCAGGTCCCTTCCTCCCGCTCCTCCTCCCCATCCCGTTCATCCTACACCTCCCTCACTCCCTCTTTGCTGCTGCTGCTGCTGCTGCCGCCGCCGCCGCCGCCGCTGCTGCTGCTGCCTCCCTCCTCCTCCTCCTCCTCCTCCTCCTCCTCCTCCTCCTCCTCCTCCTCCTCCTCCTCCTCCTCCTCCTCCTCCTCCTCCTCCTCCTCCTCCTCCTCGGCCTCCAGCCCCTCCTGCACGTTGTGCGCCTCCAGCCGCAGGCAGATCGTCTTCATCGGCTGCGGGCGGGCCGCCGCCAGCGGCCGCGGCCGCGGCATCTGCCGCCTCGCGGGACCCGGGAATCGACACACGGGGCTTGGGTCGTAGTCCCGATGGGTACAGCACAAGCAACATCAACAGCACCCTAATGGCCATCACCATGACAATAACAGTCATCACCATTGACACTACCATAGCCGTAGCAACCAGCAGCATCATCATGCAGCAGCAGCAGCAGCATCACAATCATCATCACCAGCAACAGCAACATCATCATCACCACCACTACCACAATAATCATCATCCTCCTAATCATCAGCACCATCATCATCATCATCATCATCATCATCATCATCATCATCATCATCATCATCAGCAGCAGCAGCAGCAACATTAGCATCATCAGCATCATCATCATCATCATCATCATCATCATCACCACCACCACCACCACCACCACCACCACCACCATCATCATCATCATCATCATCATCATCATCATCATCATCATCATCCTCATCATCATCATCATCATCATCATCATCACCATCAACATCACCATCACCATCATCATCATCATCATCATCATCAACAGCATCATCATCATCAGCAGCATAATAATCATCATCATCATCATCATCATCATTATAATCAGCATCATCATCATCATCATCAGCATCATCACCATCCTCAGTATCAGCATCATCAGCATCATCATCATCCTCATCATCATCATTATCAGCGTCAACATCACCATCTGCATCAGCATCATCATCATCACCTTCATCATCATCGTCATCATCATCATCAGCATCATCAGTAGCATCACCATCAGCATAATCATCATCACCATCATCGTCGGCGTCGTCATCATTATCAGCAGCAGCATCGTCATCAGCACTATCATCACCAGCATCATCAGCATCAGTATCATCAACAGCAGCTGCATCGTCATCATCGGCAACATCAGCATCATCATCACCATCAACGACGTCGTCGACATCATCACTATCATCGTAATCATCATCAGCAGCATCATCAGCATCGTCGTCATCGCCATCCTCTTCATCAGAATCATCATCTACAGCACCATCAGCAGCACCAGCATCATCATCATCATCATCATCATCATCATCATCATCATCATCATCATCAACATCATCATCATCATCATCAGCAGCATCAGCAGCAGCAGCATCATGAGCAGCCACATCAGCATCATCATCATCGGCATCGTCATCGTCATCCTCATCATCAACATCATCGTCACCATCATCATCGTGAACGCCATCGTCATCAGCATCATCATCATCATCATCATCGTCATCGTCATAATCATAATCATCAGTATCAGCATCAGCATCATCATCATGAACATGATAAGTAGCATCAGCATTATCATCAATATCATCATCATCATCATCAGCAGCAGCAGCATCATCAACATCATCATCCTGATCATCAGCATCATCAGCAGCATCATCAGCAGCAGCATCATCAGCATCATCAAGACCAGCATCAGTTTCAATATCGTCACCAGCATCATCAGCAGCAGCAGCCACCGCATCAGCATCAGCATCAGCATCGGCATCCTCATCGTCACCGTCATCATCCCCATACTCACCGCCATCACCATAATCGTCGCCGACACCATGACCTTCTAAGACATCCACCCTACCCCGCCCCCCCCCACCACCCCCTCCTCATCACAATACTCCGTTGCGTGCATCGCCCCCTCCCCCCTTCCCCCCCCCCGCCCCCTCCCGAGGCGTTCTGGGCGGCCCGACGCCTCCCTAGCTCCCTCCAAGGCCCTCCGAGGCTTCTACGAAGGCTTGGGGCAGGCCACCAAGGCAGCCAAGATGGTCCAGCGTTGCTGCAAGAGGCACCCACCAGCTTCCGAGAAGCGCCGAATAGATCCCACGAGATCCCGAAGAAACCCCCAGACGCCCCCCAGACGCTCTCCGAGTTGCCCTCTAGAGGCCAGTACGAGGGACGCATGAACACAGTGAGGAACTTGAGTCTTTGCTTCGTGTGCCACGCCTGCTCTACGCTCGCAAACGTACGCTATGGTGTGCTCTTCAAAACTATGGTGGGATGTGCTGTGCGCTGTACTGTACTACGCCATGTAGGGAGGGCCACGCGTTTCGTACGAGACTTCGTCACGACGCCCGTCGTCATTACGCTATCGGTCATCCCAGGGCTTCAGGAAGCAATGCATGACAAACTGCGAACAACACATCGGAAATAGCACACCGTTTGCTTCCCACCGTTCCCACCATTCCCTCCCGCTCTCATTCCTCGTTGATGGCTGGCTCCAACACACGTGAAAACATGTTTCACATGCGCACGCGGCAGACGTGTGTTGGACACCTCCATCCCCGCACATACTCTTCCGGATGAAGAATTCGCCGACCACATGCTTGATACCCCCCGTGACCCCTTGGCACCTGAACACCTGAAAACCCGTCCCAAACGCGATTGCGCCAGGCGTATGTTGGATACCCCATTCACCAGACGTGCTTTTCCGCGCGAAGAGTGCACCGACCACATTTTGGATATCCCCCGTTAGGCCCTGCACATGTGAGAGCACACCCCAAATGCGCGCGCCAGACGCATGTTTGTCGTCCCCTCCGAGCAGGTGCTTCAGCGCGTGAAGAATCTGCCGACGACATGTTCGATACCCATTTCGCCCTAGCACACATGCAAGCACGTCCCAAACGCGCACGCGCCAGACCCTCTATGCACGTATGTTTACGCATGATACATATTGAATGCCCCGCTTCGCGCCTGCAAACGTGAGAACACAGCCCACATGTGAACGCGCCAGGCGCATACACGTTGGAAGCTCCCCTTCGCGCCTGCATAAGCGCGCTTGCGCCAGGCGCATATTGGGCACCTCCATCCGCACAGGTGCTTTCAGGTACGCAGAATCCACCGACCACATATCGGCTATCCCATCTATGGGCCCCAATGCTGCCGAAAATACGTGAACACACACATTTCAAACGCATGCGTGACGAGACGCAGTTCAGATACCACCCTGTCCGAACTAACATTGTGACGTGCCTATTCCGACGCGTTGGGCCGGGACCCCTTTGGGGAAAAAATGATGACGCACATGTTCTTCCGTGTGCTTCATGTTCCATGTTCTTCAGTCGAATATCGCTCCACATGCGGTTTTCCACTGCATACCAGGGCCCACTGAGAGCCCCAAGAGGGCGCCTAGGCAGCCCAAGACGGTCTCAAGAGAGCCCCAAGCTGGCCCAAGAGGGCCTCAGGAGGGAACTCAAGACGGCAATAGGCCCCAAGACGACTCAAACAACCCCAGGACGGCCCACGAAGATCCCAGGAGACCCCCAGTATGGACCCAAACCGACCCAAAAGAGCACCGCGACGGCCCAAGAGGACCCCAAGATGATTGAAGAAAGCCCCGACCCCCAAGACTGCCCCACAGGAGCCCAAGACAACCCCACAACGGCAAGCCCCATGAGAGCTCCTCAAGAAGTGAAGACGAAAAGTGTCATGTGCGACGGCCTTCTGGGCGGTGCTCGAAGGGTGGCCACACAGAGTGCTTGGCTGGCACGATGACGGATCCCACCAGCCCTCTGGGCGTAGGTGACCTAAAGCGCGTCCTGTTCCAACCCCTCCCCCTTTCCCCCTCTCCTGGACTTGGACGGGGGGTTCCGCGAGGGGCTGGAGCGTCCAAGATGGCCCAACACGGCTCCAAGAGCCTCCGAAGGCCCAAGATGACTCCCAAGATGGCTCAAGATAGCCCAAGCTACCTCAAGATGGCTTCCAAGATGCTCCAAGAGGCCCCACGAACGCTCCAAGACGGCTCTAGCTGGCCACGGAGCCCCCCCAAGAGGCCGGCAAGACGCCAAAGTCCTCCCAAAACCAAAGGGAAATCACTATGGTTTGCTTTTTCGCCTTTTCGCGTCCGATGGCCTTCCGAGGCCTCAGGATGGCTCCAAGATGGCCCAAGAGCGCCCCAAGAGGGGTCCAAGAGGCCTCCAAGACGGCCCCAAGAGCGCCCAAGAGCGCCCCAAGAGGCAATGTGAGGCACTCTAGAAGGGCAAGGCGATGTCTTCCAAGATGGCTCCAAGAGCGCCCCTAAAGAAAGCTCCCAAGAACGCCCCAAGAGGGCCCCAAGAGGCGCCCAGGCGGCCCCAAGAGGCGCCAAAGAGGCCTCCAAGAGCCTCCCAAGAGACCCCCAAGAGGTCTCAAGAGGATCCCCGAGGCACCCAAGACGCTCAAAGACTGCCGTGGGTCCGCCAAGATGCCCCCCAGACGCCCCAAGAGGCCTCCAAAAAGCTTCCAAGCGCCTCCTCCTCCTCCTCTCCTCCTCTCCTCCTCCTCCTCCTCCTCCTCCTCTCTCCTCCTCCTCCCTCCTCCTCCTCCTACTCCCTCCTCCTCCTCCTCCTCATCCTCCTCCTCCTCCTCTCCTCCTCCTCCTCCTCCTCCTCCTCCTCCTCCTCCTCCTCCTCCTCCTCCTCTCCTCCTCCTCCTCCTCCTCCTCCTCCTCCTCCTCCTCCTCCTCCTCCTCCTCCTCTCTCCTCCTCTCCTCCTCCTCCTCCTCCTCTCCTCCTCCTCCTCTCCTCCTCCTCCTCCTCCTCCTCCTCCTCCTCCTCCTCCTCCTCCTCCTCCTCCTCCTCCTCCTCCTCCTCCTCCTCCTCCTCCTCCTCCTCCTCCTCCTCCTCCTCCTCCTCCTCCTCCTCCTCCTCCTCTCCTCCTCTTCGGTTGTTTCCACGTGTTCCTCCTCGTCCTCCTCCTCCTCCTCCGCCGCCTCCTCGCCCTCCTCCTCCTACCCCTCTTGCTCCTCGTCTGATTAATCCTCCATCCTCCCCCTCTTGGGGTACGACGACTTACACAACCCTTTATTCCACTGCATTATACTCCACATCCCTAATCAAAACAACTCATCTGGGCATCGTTTCTGAATGGGTTGGTGGGATTACTTTTTTGGTCGGCGGCTCCGAGGCAGCGGACAGGGAGCGGAAGGCGTCGTCTGGGCCAGCAGGCGAGGCGAATTAGCTACAACAGGCAACGCACCTGAAGTACTAATTCGCGAAACTGCTGGTGGGAGTACTTTTTGGTTAGCGGCTCCAAGGCAACCGCCAGGGAGCGGGAGCGACGTCCGGGGCGGCGGAACGGTGCGAATTAGCGAACACGGCCGCCAGCGTCGGCGAGCCAGCTCGCATAACTACAACAGAAGCAACTGCAGTAGAACATGCAATGAAAGCAAACGCACGCGCAATAAGCAAAATGCTCTACATTCAGGAGCAGAGAGTCGCCCTGCTGGCGCCAGTCCGCGCGGCCGACCTAGTCCGGGCAGGTAGTACCAGGGTACCACAGCCGTAACGATGTCGGCACAGACGGGGCAGAAGAGGCAAGAACCTACAGAGTGCTCACTCCGCGATCCACACCGTTGCCCATGGTGGGGCCGACCAGCCAGCAGCTCCGAAACCACTCACGAGTCTGAACCACGATGATAGGACGCGCCTGCCCAAGCGTCAGTACTGCTGCCATCGGGTAACGGGTGAAGGTGCCAAGGTACGCTGCAGCCGCCGCCAGCTGGAAGGCGTAGAGGTGCGGCCAGGACTGGACCTGCCACAACCAGACCACGATGAGAGTGGGTGAACTGCAGGTACAGAACCGCTCACACACTTCGCGTGCCGCTCCACAGGGGAAAGGGGGGGGCCGGCGTGTCGTCATCGTACCGATGCCAGTAACAGGTCGGGGTCGCAACGATGAGCAGGAACACGCAGGCCCATGCCGGTGCACTGCAACTCGCCTGGTGGGATTACTTTTTTTGATCTGCGGCCCCAAGGACGATTCCAGAGAGCGGGTCGAACCAAGCATGGGGCAGCAAGCAAGATAATTGCCAGCGGGCCAAAAGCCAACGCCGGAGTGCACATGCGAGGAACAAAATGAACCTCATTAAGCCGCTTCAAAACGGCAGCCAACGACTGACAGCGGGGCGTCGCACAGTGGCGCCAGCACCCAGCAGACCGGACGGCGAAGGGCGGGGCACGGCGACAGCTGCGACCCTGGCACGCCCGCCCGTGAAAGTGCAGCGAAGGCAAGAATGGGGGGACGTAGGCCTCACTCACGGAGCACCCCATGTGCTCGAAACTGGCAACACAGAACCAGGCACCAGCGGACTTGACGTGAGGTCGAGTAGGGGAAACGTCACGTGGGCCAGCCCGTTATCACCAGCCGTCGGCGGTGTAGTGCCGGTGGGCGAAAGACGGAGCGCCAGACCAGTGAGCGCGTCCCTTCCAGACTGCGCCCCAGGTGCAGGAGGCCGGTGGGCCGACCTGCCAATGCCACAATGCACACACACACACACACACACACTATTGCGTGGTGTAGCCGACGGAGAGCGCCTGCCGGGCGGGGGGGAAACGCCACAGGGCGAGGTCGCCAGCCGTCGGATGTGCGTCGTGTGGAGCGTATGGGGCGGGCCTTAGGCCGGCGGCCCCAACCACGCAAAGTGAGTGGAGTGCCCAAGCGGGCGAGACGGGCCCCAGTCCGTGGGAACCAGGCCAAAGAGAACCGCGGGCAGGAATTAATGCAGCCAATACCACACGGACTAAGAACCCACGATGCACCGTGGGAAACTAGACGCAGTGTTGTGAGAGAAGCACCTCACCCCCAGGAGGTGACACGAGGGTATTAAGCCAAGGCCTGTCACTGCGGTGAAACGAATCCCTCTGGTGGGATTACGCGGAGCGTCTAGAATTTATCGGAGGCACCTAGATATCCACCACCATCAACGTCTTCAACAACGTCATCGTTCATCGGCATCATCGCCATCCTATTATCCTCGTGATCCTCGTCCTGCTGCTGCTGCTGATCATCCGCCTGCGCATCCTACCCGTAATCATATGATTGGTCATGATCGCGTCGTCATCATCGTTATCGTCATCAGCATCATTATTCCAGAAGGATAATCCACGACAGTTCACGAAGGACTTCCAGACCCCCACGAGCGCAATGGTGCCTTCTTCAACTCCCTATCCGAAGACAAAGACACACACAGGCCCGCTGGGACAGTCCTGCTTGTTCAGGCCCAAAGCCACAGTCCAGATATCGGCCTGTCTTAAGGGGTCGCTGCTCTGCCAGCGCTGATGAAGTCTGATGGAGTTGCTGCATATAGAAAACTGGAAAAAAACCGAAGAAACATAAACTTTCAGAGGTCCGCGCGGATTTCTTGGATCGGCGCTGGACAACCCTCCCTGTCGCGCGGAGCGCGCCAGGGGAGGCGCAGGAAGCGCCGCCAGGGGGCCACACCGCAGATCCGAGGAATCCGCGCGGAGCTCCGAAAGTTTATGCTTACGCCGTTCTATCTCCTTCAGTGCACCGCCGCGTGAGGAAGACAGACAAGCGCGTTCCACTACTCGCAGAGTAGCTGTGCTCGCAAGTGGCCTGGATCCGCCGCGGGGGGTTCACGATCTATGGCACCGAGTCAGCTACGTGTGTTTGTTCTCGGCCGTCTGCGAGCAGGCCCTCTGCGAGTAGTGCAACGCGCCCGGTGAAGGACGAGGAGGATGAGGAGGCGGAGACAGAGGGCCATCAGTGCCCAGGCCTTACAGGGCAGGTTATAATACATGGGATGTAAAAAAGATTGGATTTTAATGCATGACTACTTTATGGATAGATGTATGCATGAACTCATCCTTGTTTTTAGTGCTACATCCCTGCACGTTTGATAAATGATCCCCACGCGGAGCATGTCTTAAAAACAACACTGCATGTTATTCCCATCGCATTTTAGGACCACATCCCAAGAATAATTTCGAGCACCCGGAAAAGTGTCGAAAGGGTGCCGAAACAGTGTCGAAACAGTGTCGGACGAGTGTCTCCCAGGGCCCGACACGTGAAAACCCCTGGGTTTCGGTACCTTTTCTGGCGCTTGCGTGGCCAGGCCCTCGCGTTGGCCTCCGCCCCCCTCCCTGTCGGGTTGTGCCTCCTCGGCCGCGCGCCTGCGCGCCAGGATGGCGGCGTGCTCGCGCTGTACGCGCCGCACCTGCTCGCGCAGTGCCTTCCGAGGGGGATCGTCGTCGTGGTCGCCGTCTCCGGAGGCGGCGGCGGCGGATGCGCTGGCGGCGGCGACGTCGGCGTCGTCGTCGTCATTTTCGTCGTCGTCGGCGTCGGCGTCGGCGTCGGCATCGGCGTCGGCGTCGTCGTCGTCATCGTCGTCGGCGTCGGCATCGGCGTCGGCGTCGGCGGCGGCGTCGTCGTCGTCATCATCGGCGGCAGCAGCGACGGCGGCATCTGTGCCGTCGTCGGCGTCATCGTCGTCGGCGGCGTCGGCGGCGTCGGCGTAGACCGTCGTGGGGAGGGGGGGGCAGAGGGATGAAGGGGAGGAGGGGGAGGAGGGGGGGAAGGAGGAGCAGGGGGATGAAGGGGAAGGGAGAGGGAGGGGGGTGAGGGGGAAGGGAGCGAGGGGGAGCAGGAGCAGGAGGTGAAAGAGGAGCAGAGAGGATTCAATGTGCCTGAGGTGGGGGATGGGAGACACGGGGGAGGACCAGGAGGAGGAACGAGGAACAAGGACAATTAAAAAACGAGTAAACAAGAAGAGGAAGGAGAAACGAGGGGGAACGAAAAAAAGCAGGATGAGGCGGGGAGGAGGAGGAGGAGGAGGAGGAGGAGGAGGAGGAGGAGGAGGAGAAAGAGGAGGAGGAGGAGGAGAAAAAGGATGAGAAAAAGGAGGAGGAGGAGGAGGAGGATGGCAACGAGAGGCGGGAGAAGGGGGAGGAGGCGGATAAGGAGGAGAGGTGGCGCTATCGCCACGCGGCGTCAGACCCACGCAGGGACACGGGCGTCTCGCGACGACGACGACGCCGAGGACGACACCAACAACAACAACAACACCAACAACAACAACAACAACAACAACAACAACAACAACAACAACAACACCAACAACAACAACAACAATCATTTTACCCGAACGCGTGGTGTTCTCCCCAGTGCCAGGGTTTTCATACGACACCAGGCAATACCCCCACTTCGTGGGGGGGCATTACAAGCTCTACCAAATATCCAAACGACTCTTCGCGACCACCCAAACCCAGCTTCCCGCCCTATGACGTTGGGACACTTCACTTCGTGGCGTGCGGACGACCGTGGCTACTACACTGGCGTGGGGTACACACCCACAGAACTTGGTCACTTATTCGGGGCGCGCATGTGCCCAGCATGGTGCAATTGTGCCATACAATACATAATACAGAGAGACAGAGAGAGAGACAGAGAGCAGACAGAGAGAGAGACAGAGAGAGCGGAGTTGGTCACATTTTTGGGTCAAGTTCCTGGGATGATGGGAATGGCGCAACATATGGCGCAACCGCAAGGGATTATGGCCCCTGGCAGGCGCGCGAACCCCGTTGCAAGAGCGTGCGAAAGTAGCTCGCGCGAGCTCATGTAACATAAATGTTGGAAAACCATTGGTTTTTTTAGGATTCGGACAGCGCGCGCGGGTGGAAATTTTGAAAAGTCGTGCAGCTGTTTTTCGAGGACCTACGGTGCGATTCGTGTGATTTTATGATGCGCGGTGCTAAAATTCTTAAGAACCCAATGGTTTTTGGAGATTTCGGCGTGCGCGCGCGAAGAAAAAACGAATGTGTCCCGCATGGTATTATTTGACAGGGATGATGGCCCTGGCAGGTGCGCAACCGTTGTCGCAGAAGTTCGAAAAAGTTGCTCGCAAAAGCCCGTTTGACAGAAATGTTTAAAAAGTGTTGGGTTTCCTACGAATCCGCAAGAGCGCGCGGGATGAGATTTTGACATTTTTTTGTTGAAAAACCATTGGTTTTTTGATGTTTTTATGTTAAAATCGCTCCGAACACTAAGCTTTTGGAAGGATTTCGTCTTGCGCGCGCGAATGTCCACTTTACCTTATTTTTTGCAAGGGATTCTTGAAATTTGATTATATTAGAACAAGAAATGTCATTTTATAGTGTTTTTTGCAAGGGAAAGCGGGGGGGAACAAAACAACCGGATCTTGATCACATCGAATTACCTGAGGCTTCCTCACGAAAATGATGAAAATGTAGCTGCGGCCTAGGCGGCGCAGGGGGGCCGTGCACCAGGGGTCCCAACAATAATTATTCTTTAGAATTAATAATGTTCAACAACAACAAACAGCACAGCAGCAGCAGCAGCAGCAACAACAACAACAACAACAACAACAACAACACCACCAACAACGACGACAACGAACAACAACAACAACAACAACAACAACAACAACAACAACAACAACAACAATTACTAGCACGTGGGGACACTCCGTTCTCACCAGTGCCAGGGTTTTCATAGGAGGCGGGCAATACCCCCACTTTGTGGGGGGGCCGGTTCAAGCTCTACCAAATTTCCAAACGACTCTTCGCCACCACCCACACCCAGCTTCCCGCCCTATGACGTTCGGACACTTCACTTCGTGGCATGCGGACGACCGTGGCTACTATTCAGGGCCCCGCGGCCGACGACGACGGCGTGCGCGCGCGAAGAAAAAACGAATGTGTCCCGCATGGTATTATTTGACAGGGATGATGGCCCTGGCAGGTGCGCAACCGTTGTTGCAGAAGTTCGAAAAAGTTGCTCGCAAAAGCCCGTTTGACAGAAATGTTTAAAAAGTGTTGGGTTTCCTACGAATCCGCAAGAGCGCGCGGGATGAAATTTTGACAATTTAAAAAGAAAAAAAAAAAAGAAAAAAAAAAAAAAACATTGATTGTTTGATGTTTTTATGATAAAATCGCTACGAAAACTAAGGTTTTGGAAGGATTTCGTCTTGCGCGCGCGAATGTCCACTTTACCTTATTTTTTGCAAGGGATTCTTGAAGTTTGGTTATGTTAGAACAAGAAATGTCCACTTTAGCTTATTTTTTGCAAGGGAAAGCGGGCCGTAACAAAACAACCGGATCCGGACCAACCCGTTTTGCCTGAGACTTCCTCACGAAAATGATGAAAACATGGCTGCGGCCTAGGCGCGGCGAGGGGGCCGTGCACCAGGGGTCCCAACAATAATTATTCTTTAGAAGTAATAATGTTCAACAACAACAACAAAGACGACCTCAACGACGACGACGACGACGACGAACACGACGACGACGACGCCGCCGATGACGGCGACCACGACGGCGACGACGGCGGCGGCGACGACGACGACAACGACGACGATGACGACGACGACGCCGCCGATGACGGCGACCACGACGGCGACGACGGCGGCGGCGACGACGACGACGACGACGATGACGACGACGGCGCCGGCGGCAGCGACGGCGACGCCGCCGATGACGGCGACCACGGCGGCGACGACGACGACGACGACGCCGCCGCCGACGACGACGACGACGACGACGATGACGCCGACGACGACGACGACGACGACGACGACGACGACGACGACGACGACGACGACGACGGCGATCGGCGCGCCACGCTGCCATTTCATAGCGCGCGGCGCTCCGCGCGCCTCGGCGCCCGGAGTGCCTGGCCCGCCGGCCCGGGCACGGGGCTGACTCCGAGGAGGGCTAGCTGAGACAACTGCTGGGCCCATTGCGGGAGCGGGAGGAGGAGGAGGAGGAGGAGGAGGAGGAGGAGGAGGAAGAGGAGGACGAGGAGGAGGAGGAGGAGGAGGAGGAGGAGGACCTCCTCCTCCTCCTCCCGTCTCACCCGTCCTACATGTGCCAGCGGTGGTGGAACATCTGCCCATCAGCGCCGGTGCTCGGGCACCGGGGAGGGGGGCCTCGGCGCCACGGCCGGCTGCAGCTCGGGAGACGGATGCGCGTGGACCCCTGTTTGGGGGTCCGGGGAGCAATCTTGGAGCCGTGTCTCAACTCGCACTGCCCCGACCCTAAGATTGACCAGCCTGGAACATATCCCTACTCCTAAGCTGGGCATCGCCTCATCGCAGTGCCAGTCTTAGGGGTTCCCTTAGTTCTTCAGGGCGCATCCCTGAGGTAGTCGTCGCCTTTTGGCGTGTCAATCTTAGGGATAGGGGTAAGTTCGAGGCTGGTGAAAGATCCGACGTCTCAAGAGAATACCACATCGTTGGGGAACAACTCGGCTGGAGCCATGGACCCCGTCCTTCTGCACCAGTTTTCGGGCCAGATCCATCGGTGCTTGCCGTCGCTCGGACGTCCCTTCCACGTGCATGCTTGGATGTCGTGCGTGTTTTCGCTTGTTCCGCAAGATGATCCAAGATCCTCATCGATGAGCCTGGCCGAGACAACAGGCACACGTCCGAGCGATGCCAAGTGTGAGGGTCCTGGGAAGCCCGAAGCTGTGCGAAAACGCCCGCCTCGAATTCGGCTGACCCAAAATGGGGCCCAGCTGAAAGGGCAATAGATTTCGGGCACATGTACTGCGCTGGACGGTTGTATTGCATTGTATTGCAACGCATGCACTGCACGCGAAAATCCAGCAATACCTTTGCGCCACGGAATGTGTTGCCCGCCCCAAATCGATGGCAACCCACAATACAGGTCAAAACATCGACCCCCATAATAACCACCCCGACACGCGAAGTTGTGTAGTAAACGCGCCCACAGAAGGAGTCGAACAGGGCAGGGCTGCTTCATAAACGCCCAGGGCCGTATGATAAACGCCAATTGTCCGGTTCGCGGGGTTTTTCTCTCCCTTGACACAGATCCATTGCACCAGATCTATTGCACCACCCCCTTGTGGCTGGACCCCCTTTTGTCGGGTCGGGCGAAAGGGGGGGATAGCAAAGGGGGGGGGTGAGAATCAGCTCACGTAGCTGATTTTCCCGGCGCCTCCCGGCGCCAGAGGCGGCTATGTATCGAGGAATGGGCCCCTCGGTGAGGCCGAAACCAGCTGCATGGCCGCCAGACCCCCCTCGGTTGCATGCAGCAAATTTCGTAACCCCCCCTTTCCCAATCCCCCCCTTTCGCCCGGCCCGATTTTGGATCGACCAGACCGAATGCGTGGAGACGCCAGGATCTCAGGGGACCGACCGCCCCGCGTGCGGGCCGCCCGCCCCCGGCCCGGCAGGGCCCGGCCCGGCCCCGC